GTGGCCGTAAAGGCGGTTGCTGGTGGGGGGTGTGGAGGTGAGCACAGCCCATGCCACCCAGCCCACCCCTTTCCAAGTCACAGCAGGTAACAAATGGGGGAGTGTGGAGAAAGCGCTCAGCTTACGTGCTGGCGTGAGTAGCTGTGACCCATGGAGAAACCAGTTGTGCCTGGGTCAGTAGTTCCCCGTGATCACAGCGGCAGGTGCTGGCAGTGGGGAGCAGTAGAAAAAGTAGGCTAGAACTGGCAGGCCCGAGTTCTAGTCCCAGCCCTGCTGTGTGACCTTGGGCAAGTTGGCCAACCCCTCTGAGCACCCTCATTAGCACAAAAGAATGAATTATCTCTGCCCAGCCCATCAGATCTTTGTAAAAATCACCTGCTATAGAAGACTCGAAAAGTCTTTCCAACTGTGAAATGGTATCCAGGAGAGGGGAGGGTTTATGGCTGTGACCTTGTTTTGTATTTTGGTTGAGGTTATTTTGGGGGTGCTGGGGGCACTTATCTTTTAGGATAATCCTGGAGATCGAAGAACCAGCTGCAAACCACAACGGCGGCCAGCTGCTCTTCGGGGACGATGGGTACCTCTACATCTTTACCGGAGATGGCGGGATGGCCGGAGACCCCTTTGGAAAGTTTGGAAATGCCCAAAACAAGTATGTCCTGCTTTTGGCTGGCTGGTGGGCTGGTTTACATACCCCTGGGCTACATACAGCTCTGCAGGGGAACCGCCTCCTCCGCGACGCAGTGCAGGGCGGCGGAAAGGGCCTTGGGCCCCAGCTCAGCCCGCAACTGGCCAGCCGGAGACCCAGCCAGGCCGCTGCCTCTCATCAGTTAGAGATGAATAATAGTAACCTCCATGGCAAGGCTTGTCCTTACCAGTCAGAGCGATGATGCCTGTGGAGGGCCAGGCACAGGGTCCGCTTCCCACAGGTACCTGAGAAGCAACACCAGAGGGCATCTGGGAAGATGGGATTGTTTTCTGAAGTCAGCCCAACCCTGCTGGAACCAGAGGAAGGAGAGGGGTGCTTCTCAGACCAAATGGGGAGCACGAGCTGGTTGGAGCAGGGCTATATGGGCGCGTGGGTGTTCTGCCCCAGGGGTCACCCATCATGGCTCAGAAACAAGCATAGTTTTGCTCTCAGCCACGTCTTGGCTTGAGCAGCTGGCCTGCCGTCATCCCACTCCTGGGCGCACACGCACACACTCACGCTTGGAGAGTTGTGAGTCTAGACGAAGCTATCCTGCAATCTCAGGGCCGCCGCCTCCACTCTCTTAGCCAAAAATGACAAAACCTTTCTCAGCCCAGAAAGCAAAAATAGCGAGTCCGACGTTGATTACAGTAATTAACGTGTTCACGGCGTGCGACTCGTGCTCACGTGTGACAGAGTAAGAGGCATCGCAGCTTTCTCATGTTTAGATGTGTTTAGAGATGAAGTTCAGAAAATAGAAATTAAGGATTTGTGGGTAATTGGACAGAACTTAAAACATTATTTTGCTGCTATGAGTTTTGCCCACTTACATAGGGAGCCTGGGGTGTGGTCTGCAGCTTGGTGGTGAGCAGGCTGGAGTGGACGGGAGGAACCCTTGGGCCGTCGGGGGTTAACTGTGGGGCCGCTATTGGGTGGGAGCATTTTGTCACCTGAAAGAGGACACTGTGAGATGTCTCTAGCGAGGGAAATGCTGGGGTGCTGATGCTATGTGAGAATGACAGGGGCACAGTTGCATCGAATGTGCAAAGCACAGCAGTGCTGCCTTTAAAAGCCGCCTGGTGGGCGTCCACCAAAATGCTGACCATGTGGTAACTACGTAGGTGCGTCAGAAATCACAGCCGAGAGTGTGGCCCCCAATGTGCTTCCCATCTTCAAGCACAGGGCAGATTTCCCCCATCAGGTGTCACTTTTGTCTTGTGACAAATGAAACCCACAAGCCATTCACCTCCGGGAGCTATGAGAGGTTAGGGCTACACCCCTGTTCTATGTGGCTCTGGAGGGCCCCAGAAGGGGACACTGCACGGTTCCGTGGAGTGGCCTGGCTTCCAGTCCAGAGCTGCCCGGGGGATCTGGCAGGTGGTCCCCCTGGGTTGCCACATCTTTGAGGTTCGGTGGAGGGTGGAGGGTGGAGGGGGTGGGGTGAACTGAACCACACTGAGGCCAGTTTGCTCTCTGTGGGGTGGTTCTGCCTGCCATAGTCCTGGGGGGGGGGCATGAGAGGGAAAGTGAGGATTCAGCCTCTGGCTCCTGCTCAGATCAGCGGTGTTCTCTCCCCTCTCCCAGCCCCGACCTGTACTCTGTATGGTGCACATGACTTTGCTTGTAAGCCATTCATTGGTTCACTCAGCAAACACTTAATGAGCACCTGCTGTGTACCAGGCACTGTGCTGGGTGCTGAAAAAACTGCAGGAGTCCTTTTTCTGGGAGCATTTATTTTTACCCTGTAGCACAACCCTTTCAGAGGGACCACCCTCAAGTTAGGGTGAACAGGGGCCTGGGAGGTCAGACAGTGTTGTGGTAAAGGCTGTGGGTTTCTGTGGCCAGCCTGCCAGAACCGGACCCCAGCCCCACCATTTGCTAGCTGTGTGGCAACTGGGCATTCTGTGACCTTTCTGAGCTCAGCTGCCCCCATCTGTAAAATGGGGTCACAGTAGTACCCAGCCACCTGAAGGGTTTGTTAGGAGGCTGTCGATGGAAGGGATGTCCAGTGCTTGGGACACAGGGCTTGGCACAAAGGAAGGTGCCGGGTGGCTGTTGAATGAATGAAGGAGGTGACCCAAGCCGCCCGGGCCTCTGGCTCCGCAGCCGAGGCGCGCC